TGGACAAAAGGAATCATGAACCCCAGGACCTCTCACTCTTGGCAAAGTTGGTACCTCTGTCTTTGTGCTGGGACTTACTGTAAGGACATCTGCTTCTCCACCAGTACCTTGCAGCAAGTACCAGGACATTTGATGGAATAAAACAGTGTTTCCTTTGACTCTTAACTTCATATCTCCCAAGAAAAACAGAAGGGGGCAAACCAGTGCCAGACAATAACTCACGGCTGACGTCCTTTGGTATTCTTTGAAGCATGGGAATTGGATCTATAGGGATTGAGAGTGGTGGGCACCCAGAGGACCCAGCAGCTGTGCCACTTGGGGAAAGAAAAGGGTGGGGATGAGCGGTTAAGCTTTGAGTAAGCATGGTGAGTAGGTTACCTGGAAGCCTATAGTTAAAGGTGTTGCTGTCTCTTTCCCTGAAATAGCCTCCTGGATCCGTCTCAGCCAGTAGCTGAATTATTCTCACGTCCTTTCATTCTCTGTGCACAAGGAATCTGAGGTAAGAAATCCAGACTCCTTTCCACGCATGGCTACAGCAGCCTGCAGAAATCTGCCCTTCTGTGGCCCAGTTAAGTGTTAGAAGACTGGGTGCCAAGCTTCCCTGGGTAGATGTAGGGTTAGTTTCCCAGAGAGGATTGCTGGCACTTGTCCTCAGTTCTATCCTTACCTACCAGCTTCCAAAGAATTGTGGGTGACCATAGAGCAGTGTAAAGGATAGGTGGCAGAGACATAGTGTCCCAAGTGTCAGAGGGACCCCAATGGTCACTGATGCTCCCAAGGGTACTGCACCTAGCCACCAACCTTCATCTTCCAAATACTTAATTTCCTTTTGAGGAAAGGAAAAACAGGTGGTAGAGCTCAGGTACCTGAGCTTGAACCAGAGAACCCCTGAGAGGAGCCAGAGGCACTTAGGTAGTACTTGGGCTCACAACCCAGTGTGTTGGCTGTGCATAGGAACAAGGAGTTGAACTTGGTTTTCCTTCAGGTCCAGGAGTATCAGCAGCAAAGATGTCTAATGAGCCACCCCCTCCTTATCCTGGAGGTCCTACAGCCCCACTCCTAGAGGAAAAAAGTGGAGCCCCACCTACCCCAGGTAAGGATGTCAAACTGCCTTTGGTAGAGGACTGGGTATGGTCCCTAGATGGGATTGCTGGGTCAGTACCTTATGCCATTAGCTCGTCTTGAGGGTCTTTCCTGACCCTGAGCCTTCTGGGGTCCCTGTCACAACTCTCTCCATCTCAAATGTAGTTGATGCTTCTCACAGTGAACTGATCCTGCTTCAGGGTCACCCTGTCTGTACCCAACCTGTGTGTAGAGACCAGCTTAGCTGTCTTCTTTCTGTCCTTCTCTGTCCAGGCCGCACCTCCCCAGCGGTGATGCAGCCGCCACCAGGCATGCCACTGCCCTCTGCTGACATTGCTCCCCCACCTTATGAGCCACCTGGTCATACAGTGCCTCAGCCTGGTTTTGTGCCTCCTCACATGAGTGCAGATGGCGCCTACATGCCTGCAGGTGAGTTGGGAAGAGACCTGAAGGAAGCAGAAGCAGCTGCCACCCTCAATTCACTGTGGAATGGCATCAGTCATGCCATATGAAATGTAAATGGTGGCAGAGGAGGATCCTGTCACTCACTGAGGGACTGTGGTGTGGTGTGGTTTTTCCTTGTCAGGGACAAAAAGTCCCCAAAGGAGAACTAGGCCTTTGCTCACCAACAGCTCTCAGGCCCAAAGTCTGGTTACTATCTGGGTTTGGGTTGGGTGGTCTTTGGCATATTAGACATTGACATGCAAAAGCTTTGTATACAGGAGAGGTGTGACACTTTTCCCTCTTGCTGCTGAAGTCCTCATCCTTGTAGGCATGGAAGAACAGAGGCAAGGAAGTGGACATGAGCTGTGCTCCCAGCTCTCTGCCACATCTGTCTTGGTCTCAATGTGATATAGATCAAAAGATCTGTGTCATTTATAAATGGTCACCTTGAGCCAAGGCCTGTTCCTACTGACACTTGGCCCTCTTGGGGAAGGTGGCAAGAGGCTATGGGCTGTGCCCTAAGTGCTGAGATCCTATGTTTTGTGTTCTCCCAGCTAATCAGTGACCTCTCTTGTATGTTGCTCCAGGTTTCTACCCTCCTCCAGGCCCTCACCCACCTATGGGCTATTACCCACCAGGACCCTACCCACCAGGGCCCTATCCTGGCCCTGGGGGCCACACAGCCACAGTCTTGGTCCCATCAGGGGCAGCCACCACGGTGACAGTGCTACAGGGAGAGATCTTTGAAGGTGCACCTGTGCAGACAGTGTGCCCCCACTGCCAGCAGGCAATCACCACCAAGATCTCCTACGAGATTGGCCTGATGAACTTTGTGCTGGGTTTCTTCTGCTGCTTCATGGGGTAGGTGTGGGGTGCTGACAAGTGGTGGTACTGCTGGGGTCTGTATGTTGCCTGACCGTTTCTTCAGGCCTTAGCCTATCTCTGTCTTCAATCCAGGTGTGATCTGGGCTGCTGCTTGATCCCCTGCCTCATCAATGACTTCAAGGATGTGACACACACGTGTCCCAGCTGCAAAGCCTACATCTACACATACAAGCGCTTGTGCTAATGGAGCTAGACTTGGACTCCCCCACCTTCAGTCTGGCCCCATGTGCTTTGCTCCCCATGCTCAGTGGTCACTACCCTCCAGCCCCAACTCAGGGTTGGAAGTTTTGCCACTGTCCCCTGGAAATCCTGTCCTCACCTTGCCCTTCCCTGAGCATCCTACTTCCAGCAAAGATTCCGTTGGATTTAAGGCCAAGGGCCAGTGGGTGGCATGGGGGTAACAGTGATCTTGTGTGATGCTTGGACATTTGCAATCCAGAAGATAAGCTGTAGAGGATCTCTTACTGGGGTCCTCTCTCCTTTCTGTATAAGGGTCCAGGTTTGGTCTTTATTCTTCCTAGGACCAAAAGCACCCACCCAGAGTATCAACAGGTCCCAGACTAGGGCCTATAGTGAGGGTTATGTCTGGAACCACAGTTGTGTCTGACCTGCTGGAATGAGGTCAGGGAATCATCTAGAGTTAAGTGGATCCAAGCAAGACTGGGTCTTAAGGCCTGGGTTTATGTGGAATATATTGTCTTGTCTGGGGTGCCAAAGGTGGAATAAGAAAGAAATGACTGTCAACTCTGGGCCTCAGAACTCTCAGGTATGGAAACCCAGGACTTCTACCCACGGTCCAGGAGGTATCCCAGAGCTGCCTGGTATAAGGCAAAGAGGACACTGGGCTAGTTAAAGGCCCTGGTAGCCAAGAAGAACTTGCCCCCTTTCTTACCTAGCTTTCTTTGAGGCAATGTGCAGATCTCCTTTCTGGCCACATCTGTGAACCCCTATATTTTCTGGGGCCAGAAGGAATGAATGCCCATGACCCTGTCCTGTCTGTCTACTTTTGTGTCTGTGCTATATATGGGTGTAACTTCTGCCTGGCAGCTTACTGAGAGTGGCAGATCAGAACAGCCTCCTTGTAGGTTCATTGGTCTCTGGAATAAGTCCCAGTCTTCTTGCCATAGTTGACTTGCTTCTATATTGGGGCACTTCAGTAGGGAGAACTGTGGCACTAGGCTGGGGACCAGGAAGAAAGTCACAAGTAGTGGGGTATCCTAGGGATATGAGTCCTGCCCAGCCAGGGTGTAAACCCAAACTGTCTATTTCCTGAATGGTCTGTGAATATGCCCATGTGGACGCTGTGTCCTGCTGCTGTCCCTCTCCTGGTCTCACACTACCACTGCATGGCCTCCTAACACTGTGAACTGTGGCCTGGTCCCAGTTTGTAGTTTCATTAAACTGGCCCTTTCCCTCCCCTGCCCTGGGCCTCCTCTGCTGTCTTGCCTGGCTTCCTTCTTTTCTGAGGGATAGGGTGGGACAAGCAAGAGATTGGGTCTGGGAAACAGCACATGTTTAAGAACCTAATTACACCAAACCAGAATTATATATAGACTTGCCCTAGGGGGACCTAGCTGTTCTGGGGCTGGGAGGTTTTGTTCCCACCATTTACATAATTAGGTGTCCAGGCTGCAGAGCCTGAGAACTGGAGCCCTGTCCCAACTTAGTGATGTCCTAACCTGAAGGTGGTATTCTCCCGTCCTTAAACAAGCACTACTGGACTGAGACCTTATAGTCTGAAGATAAACACTGAAGTCTGGCACTCAGGCTCTGAACCAGGTTGGCCTTGGTAAAACCAACCATCTCAACTGTGAAGGTCATGGGCTCACCTTCTGTTTTACCATTTTTTTTCCACACAAGACTTTTACAGAAATAGATTCCTACTAATAAAAATATTTAACCTCACATTTCTATTTTAGACCATGAATTGTTTAAGTATGTGCTTTTAACCTCAAAGTATATCTAAGAAAAATCACAGGTTCAAGTAGACATTAAGGATCTTTATAATGTTTAACATGAATACATGGAAAAATAAGGTATTGGGAATTGGTCAGGAGTGTTGGGAAGCAGGCAGGGCTGTCAGCAAAGGAGGATGTATGCAACATGCCACTAATTCCTTGTAGAACAGGAGGTAGTCTCACCTACCCTATCTCAGGGAGGAGGAAGTATGAGGTGTCCATTTTTAGAGTGCTGTAGCAGGTATATAGATCAGTGGAGACAGCCCAGGCTAACAGACTTCTTAGGGAAATCCTAGTTGAGCAGGATAAACACGGCTTGGAGACAGAAAAGCATAGCTTTCATCCCAAAAAGACTCCCTGAGGCCTAGAAAATTGAACTTCAGTTGGCATGATTCTTTCTCACAAAGCCTGGGCGTTATGGACAGCCCACTCCCAAGCAAGGCAATGACTACTCCAAGCACTATTAAAGAAGAGAATGCACCCAGGCCCTCCAAAATGACAAAAATCCTGGAGCACTGCCAGATCAGAGGTCCAAGGCTGACTAGCAGTGGAGTATTGGCTGTTAACTACAGTAACAGCCTGTGCCTGGTATGTACCTGGATGGCAGAGAAGATGCTGTTACGCAGAGGCTCTAGTGTCTGGCTTTTATTGGTTGCTTGTTTTCTTGAACCCAGCATTAAAAAGTCACCTGAGGTGGTAGTTTAGTCAGAGGTGGAAACGGGGATGGAATAGGATGCAAATGACATTGACAGGTCCTTCACATGTAGTACCAGGCCCAGAGTCCAGCAGCCAGGGCCACACTGGCAGCTAGAATGAGCTGGAGGCTAGGCTTCCTCAGCATGGCCATGGCTGTCCGGAAGGGGCAGTTGCTGCCTTCCAGCGTACCTGCATGCAGCACAACAGGAGACACGGCATCAGTGGAGGGCAATGACACACCCACTCCTGAAATGTTAGCTCAGGACCCACAACCTACCTTTGTCTGGCTGAGCAGCATAAAAGGGGCATTTACGTACATCCCCCTTCCCATCGTGCATGGGGAGCCCGTCCTCCAGGTTTTCTCTTGCCAGCATGGAGCCAGCCTGGTCCAGTTCACTGAATATCTGAGGAGCAGAAATCAACTGAGCTATCCCTGAACTAGGCAGACTCAGAATTTGCAACCTACTCACCACCCACAGAGAAGCTAGAGTCCAGATACACCTGATCAGGACCAGCTGAACATCAAGCCAGGTCTTAGTGGGAATTCAAATGACGGCTGGTGACAGCTCCACTTTGAATGCCCACTGCTGTTCTGACACTGAGGGCTGACATGGGGTTTTGGAATCAAATGGCTTCTGCATGATCAGCCCTACGTAAGGCTTATAAAATGTACTCTACTTTCCAGTGAATCTGGCTCCATACTAAATAATTTTCCTGTCTTCGCTACAAAATGAGGAAATTACCCATTCATCAATCCTAGCAACCTGTAGAGAAAGAGGGAGACAGCTCTATTTTCAGACCCCTCAAATGCTAGAGCTTTGGTCCTTCCAATACTAGTCATGGGTCTCAAACCAGGCCTCCATCTGGGAACTACACACTGGCCCCATGCTCTCTGATGGCTAACTGGTTCCCTCATCTTTCTCTAGGGCATATAGAAGCTCATTTGTCATGCTACAAATAGCTTCTCAAGAAAGCCCTGGCTTTGATTCTACTGCTAAAAGATCAAGTTCATGCATCCATGGTCACTACCCAGTACCTGCATATTATATTCGAAGGCTTTGTTGGCCTCCTCCACGATCCTCTCTTTGGTCTTTAAATTCAGGTCCAGGGCATTCATTCTGGCTCGGTAGAACTGCTTGAATTGCTGGGCATTGTCCACATGCTCAAACAGGTAAAACTGGGTCCCTTCCCCAGTGCTGGGGAGTTTGAGTGCCCGCTGGGCCACCTTCTTCAGCACCTGGCCTCCTGAAAGGTCCCCCATGTAACGAGTATAAGCATGGGCCACCAGCAGCTCTGGTTCATTCTGCCCTACATAGTGGATTCGATCCACATACTTCTGGGCAGCCTCAGAGCACTTCACCTGCTCCTCCCAGTTTTCACCAAAGAAATACTCCATGTCCTTGATCAGTGCTTCCTTCCGGTGTAGCTCCGTGGGGAAATACAAAGGGGCAAAGGCTGGGTGGTCTTTGTTTCGGTCCATTTCCTCCTCAAGGGCCGAGTAAGTGAAATAAAGTGCGGTAGTGGCCAGCTGTGAGGGTGATGGAAGATTGTGGGAGATTATAAACCAAGCCAGCAGCTCTAAACCCACCATGTTTTGTTTTGTTTTTTCAAAGATAGGATTTCTCTTTGTAGTTCTGGCTGTCCTAGACCAAGATGGCCTCAAACTCACAGAGAACTTTCTGCCTCTGCCTCTGCCTCCCCAGTGCTGGGACTGAAGGTGTGTACTGCCACCACTGCCCAGCTTTTTTAATCCACCGTGTTTTAAGAGTAGCTCAAGACAAAAGCCACTTTGTCCAGTTCCAAAGACCCTGTGATCCCTTTTTTATATAGTAAACTACTTAACACACCTAGGAAGATTCTGTAACTTCTTAAGGAAGAGACTGTGAATATTTACAAACATATTTTTACTAATTCATTTAGGCTAGGGTTGCCACGATTAACACCCAGGAAATAAAAATTTATGCCTGGGCATGGAGGCATATACTTTTCATCCCCAGTGTTCAGGAAGCTGAGGCTGGAGGATCCAGGGTTAAAGCCAATCTAGACTATATAGCCAGACCATCTCCAAGAAAAATACCTAGCAGCTTCTCCCTTGGAGTGGTTGCTGGGCAACTTCCTCAGCCAACTAAGGCCACCCAACCTCCCATCCCTTATTAAAGTTTAGAACCCAACCCCATCTGAATGAGGGCACAAACCTTAAATAGCTCCTTCTTAATGTTTCCTTTCAAGAAGTCTTTGACAAACTGGGTATTTTCTGCCCGGTCATGTGCTTCCTTGGTCCCTTCCTTTAGGAGCTCAGAAAGGTCTGCCATTCTGTGGAGATGAGTTGTGTGAGACAGTAGTCCTTTCCAGTTCTCCAAAAAGGATTAAAGGGAAAAAGACAGTTTAGACGCCAGATACAGACTGAAGCTGGAGCTGCTCAAACACCACTCCAGCATGAACAGGTGAACCTTGTCAGCACAGAGCAGGCAGATGTGACAATCTGCCACAAAAACTCAGGGGGCATGAAGATTTTGTGTATGGTGTGTGTGTGTGTGTGTGTGTGTGTGTGTGTGTGTGTGTGTGTGTGTGTGTGTGTGTGTGTGTGTGTGTTTTGTGTATGGGGTGTGTGTGTGTGTGTGTGTGTGCGTGTTAGTAAGCAACCAAATGCATGAAATTTTGGCTCCTGTGGCCACCTAGTGGCTGAAGAAACAAAACTTAATCCAGCCCAGAAGCTGCCTTCCTCCCAATGAGGGAGGGATCCTTCAGGATGTTATGTGGATGGGCCCAGATGTGAAAAGATGAGACAGTGGAGAGACAAGGACCAAGATCTTAGCTTTGTATTCTTTCTTCTTCTCTTCTTCTTTCTTCTTCCTCCTCCTCTTTTTTGGTTTTTCCAAGACAGGGTTTGTCTGTGTAGCCCTGGCTGTTCTGGAACTCTGTAGAACTCAAACTCAAGAGATCTGCCTGCCTCTGCCTCCCAGTTTTATATTTCTTAACAGAATCACAAGGATAAAGTTACACCAATAAATGGACAAGGTAGAAAAGTGAGATCCTAAGGACAATGGAACCAAGGGAGAACTTCTGTGTATCCACACAGTCCGTTTGTTAGATTGTTTTTAGGAGATTTCACCCACATCCTGAGAATTGGTTCATTAGCAATTATTTTAACATATAAAAAATAACCTAGCCAACGACAGGACTCTAATGAGAGGCTAGAAAAATTGCAGAGCAGGGCCCAGTAATCTAAACCCTAGAGAGGTTAGCAAGTAAAGGCCTGCCCTAAAACAGAGTTCAGATTCCACATTTGGTAGGGAGATGATCTTGTAAAGGAACCAGCTTTGCCTCTCATTATTCCTCATTAGCCAAGATAAAAAGCCACTTAGGTTTGGTTTTTGCTTTTTTTTGCAAGACAGAGTTTGCCTATTTATTGGCTGTACTGGCTCCCTCTGTAGACCAGGCTGGCCTCCAACTCAGAAATATGTCTGCTGCTGGGATCAAAGGTGCACACCACCATGCCTGATACTACTTGGTTTTTAAGAAGAGAAAAATGACTACCATGAAACCCTGACTCAACACTCCCAGCATCTGGCCTGTTTCCTTGGGTAACAGAACACAGAAAACCAGGCTGGACAGGGCCCTGCAGTGCCAACCAAACATCCCAGGCTCTACACTGCTCGGGGCTAATGGGCATTCCCAAGTGCCACCTACAGACTGAACTGGGCATGCTGGCAGATGGCAGAACAGGTGCTGGACCCTCCCAATGAGAAGCAGCCAGTTGCTATCACTCACTTGGTATGGTTTTCCTTCTCTGGGGCCACAGAGTTCTTTTTCTCTGACTCATCTACCCCCTCCGAGGTCTCCACTTCTGAAGACATTGTTGCTGAGTAGTTCCTGCTGCCCTCACTCTGGTCCTGTAGAGACACAAGGAATTGGTGACTGAATAACGTCTTTTGGCTTTAAGCCAACATAACTGAGGAGACAAACCTGCACCTCAAAAGACTATTTTTCATAACAAAGCTCTGGCATTTCTGGGATCATATCAGAATATGGACAGATCTGAAGATGGACAGTGGGCTAGGTAACAGAATTATGATGCTGAATTTGTTCTTAGGCAATACACACTGACATTCAGAAGTAAGTGGCATGCTGTCTTCAATTACTCTCCCCACTTCTGAGGAATGTATGTACGTATGCATCCGTGTGAAGAAAGTAAATAAGTTAAAATGGTGAGTCTGGGTAAAAGATATACAAAGTTCTTTTTAATTTTTTTGTTTGTTTTTTCCAGACAAGGTTTCTCTGTGTAACAGTTCTGGCTGTCTTGGAACTTGCTTTGTAGACCAGGCTGGCATCGAGTTCTGGGATCTATCTACCTGCCAATGCCTCCTGAGTGTTAGGATTAAAGGTGTGCACCACCACCACTGGGCTACAAAAGTTCTTTGTACTAGTCTTACCATTTTGGTTTTTTTTTCCTCTGCATGTCTGAAATTATACACAAATAAAATGCCACCAAAGACATAAAAAAGCTGCAGGAACTCTCATTAAGCAATGCAAGGCTTCCCATTTAACCATACAGTCCTACCTGTGGGCTGCCAGGTGAAAGGAATAGAAGCAATGTTGGCTAGAGTTTAGTTAAGCCAGCTGTGCCCAATATTTCCACTGTAGAACAGAAGCAAGCCTGAGCACCTTCAAACTGTCCCCAGCCTATTCTGTACTCTGCTGGGCTGCAGGGAATAAAAAGCTAGCTGATCAACTCCCATTGCCTACTTCAAGGCTGAAATTTCATCAGCAAGGGAAATACAATCCCATACAGTTTCATCCTCAATCTCAAGATTTCTACTCAAGCAGTACATAAAGGGGGAACTTTGCAAATGAATAGTGTGGCAAAACATCACAGAAATTCCAACTCTAGAGCCATATCTGGCCAAACTGGGTCAAGGAAAAGGAAAGCTTAATTTTCTACCTCAATTAGTACTCCTTTAGCGCACATTTTCTACAATCCAGACAATTAGGTTATTATAAGAACAGCCTTTGAAGTAGGTGTGTCGCTCAGGTTAGATGCACCACTACCACTGCCCGGCTTACAGTAAGTATTTTTACAGTATGTATTTTTTAAAACAAAATAATACTAATAACTTGCTATCATTTCAACAGTCTTCTAAACTCCAAGTACAATTTACTTATTTCCCTTTGAAGATTACTGAGTCCTCAAGCTGTCTGAAAGCTTCCTTCCATGGAAGACTCAGTTACCAAATTTAACCAACATAGGCTACTGCTAGGGGAGACACTTGTGTCCATTCTTGTTGCTTAGTCACCATTCCTCAAGGGAGTGGCCATGTAGGATGATACCTTGCCCCAGTGGAAACATTTGTCTTCAATTTCTGAAAAACTACATTTCTAAATCCTCTGCTGACCTGTATACTCTAGAATATACTCCTTTAAAAACTGCTCATAGCAATCTGTATCACAATAATAAATACTTATACTATAAGGGTTTGAGCTACTCAAAGGACAGTATACAATACTGCTAACAAGCTAACAAACTGTGATCATGCACAGAATAGTCTACATTTTAAAAAAAAAATCTGAGAGGAGGTAGTGGTGCTTGCCTTTAATTTAATCCCAACACTAGAGAGGCAGAGGCAGGCTGATATTAGTGAGTTCAACCTGGTCTACAAAACAAGTTCCAGAACAGCCAGAGCTTTTACACAAAGAAACTCTGTCTCCAGAAACCTAAATAAATACAAATAAACAAATAAGAATCCAAACCACTGACTATAACTACGTATAAACAGCACAGCACTATACAGATAGAGTTCTTACCCAAGTACATTAACAATTACAGAGACGGAATTTGGAAAACTCTTCATTTTTTTTAAAGATTTATTTTGTTGATTTATCACATATACAGTGTTCTGCCTACATGCCAGAAGAGGGCACCAGATTGAATTGTAGATGATTGTGCCACCATGTAGTTGCTGGGAATTGAACTCAGGACCCCTGGAAGAGCAGTCAGTGCTCTTAACCTCTGAGCCATCTCTCCAGCCCCATTTATGGTTTTTGTTAGACAACTTAGTCAACTGGCTGTTTCTTTTATGTAGCATTATCCTATTAGAAAGTAAAAAGGGAAAAGGGTAGGAGAGGAATGCAGGGAAGGAAAGGGTAAAAAGGAAACACAGACATAGGAATTGGTTGGTGTCAGCAAACTAGTTAAGATCTGCCCTGATAAATGAACAGTCCTTGGCCCTTCTGTTACCACAAGTTGTAGCAGAAAGATCACTCTGTGCCCCACCATACCCCACCCCCTTTAAAAACAAAACAGACTGTTACTCCATAGTTCTCATCCTGCCAGCTGTTTTCCAGATCAGTGACTAGTTTTCATTCTAATTCTTGATTTGAGTGAAGCACAAGTTCCTATGACAGAGACTTCCTGCAAGAGGTACCCACGCAGCAGATCTAGAACATCCACCTCAAAACTGCTGCTCCTGGTAAAGCACATTAGGACTTAGCGAAATAACTGGTGTTATGCAAAGAAACTCTCCTCCATAGAGACCAACTCCAGCAAATTTCACAATGCCCAGGTAATTCAGAGCACTGCTGCCAGGCAGAAATGTAACCTAAGGACCAAATCATGGTCATTTCCCATCTGATGATGTAAAGAATAACAAAGACTTCTGGTATTCATTCTGCACTGAAGGAAAGAAGCAGGTTACTGAGCGCAGGTAAAAGAAAGGGAATGGCAGGGTGACCTTCTCCCTGACATTAGAACAATGCTGTAAGCTTGACTCACTGGGTAGTGACACTCAACAACAGTGAGTTTACACCCACAATATGAGTCACTGTTATTATCCCATACGCACAGGGAGGTTAAATGGCTGCTCCAAGCATTCTTTACCAAGACCTGATCATGATTCCCTCTTTGAATGGATTTCTGCTGGGCATCAGACTTCTCATCGTTCCTGAGTCCCCTGCTTCCTTCCTAGAAGGCTGTCTATGGCTCAAGATTTCACTCCTATATAGAACTGGTACCATCCTACCCTATATGTGACTGCTTCCAATTAAACCAGAAGCTTCCTACACGGCAGATCAAGATTTCCCCCAGACTCAGTTCATCAGGGTCCAGTATCACAGCAGGGCATCCATTTGGAGCCTCCAATCTGAGTTATAACTGTTACAGTGTGCACACAGCATGCACTGAGCATACAAGCTAAATGAAAGTTGTGTGTTAGGTGTATAACTGGGTATCATGACACTAAATTAACTACTATGAGATCTGATTTTAACTTCAGACCTAGTTCTCTGTTGTCTTTACTTTTCAAGTTTTAATTGACAGCTATGTACACTTGTACAATATGGGTTTTTTTGTTTATTTGTTTGGTTGGTTGGTTGGTTTTGTTTTTTATCCGAGACAAGGTTTCTCTGTGAAACAGTCCTGGCTGCCCTGGAACTCCCTCTGTAGACCAGGTTGTCCTTGAACTCACAGAGATCTGCCTGCCTCTGCCTCCCAAGTGCTGGAATTAAAGGTGTATACTTGGTCCAAAATTTGCTCTATCTTCTCAAATATGCTATGAGGACCAAAATGAGATACCATACATAAAAATGTTGTATGAAATGTAATGCTGCCTCAAATACTGATTTCTTATTGAGAAAGTTGGTAACAATGAGTAACTGGGAAAGCCCTGGGGTTTAATCCCCAACTGGGTTTAGTAAACTGGGGATAACAGCACAAGCCAGCACTTGGGAAGTAGAGGCAGGAGGTTCAAGAGTCATTCCTGGATACAGATGAGTTCAAGGCCAGCCTGAGATACATGAGACCCTGTCTCAAACAACACAAAAACTAAGAAAGAGCAGCTGGGTGATTGCAAAACAATAAATCTAACCAATTCAGATGATTCTGGACACGTCATACCAGAAAACTGCAGAAATGTGAGGAATCAGCAATACCTGTTCTTCTCAAGGTTAGACATGTGACCAAGGCAGGAAAGAAGGCCCACTATAGGTTCTCTTCAATGCTGGCTCAGCTAGAGGTTAGCTGTGTTGGATGCTGGGGACATAGAGAGCTAGATCAGCTCTAATCCAATCAGACATTTGATAACAGGGGCCTCGCAACACCAAGGAAACGACATTATCTAGGTAAACAGTTTCTGAGTTTTTATAATAAATACCCAAGGTCTCTGAACTTGGGCACTGCCATTCCTCAGGAAATCTGATACATTTTGATTTGTGGAAGTTCAATCCCACAGTTCACTGCATGGATGACTATAACCTCTTGATAAAGAGCAAGACCAGACAGGAAATCCTAGAAAAGTAAGGACTCCAGTGACAAAAATTTAGTCTGATTTATGAAACACACCCTTGCAAATAGCAAGAAAGCTAAATGCACAGGGTAGGTTTGTCCTTTGGCAGAACATTTTCCTAGTATTCTTGAAGTCCTATTTTCTACCTACGGCACTGAAAAAAATAATCAGGGTGTAGTGGTATAGCCTTATAATCTTAACACTGGGGGAAGGCAGGGAGTGAGGCAGTTCAAGGCCAACCTAAACTACATAGTGAGACCTGACCTCAAAAATAGTAACAAAAACCTAATCTAAAAGCACCATCAGGCTGGGCAGTGGTAGTGCATGCCTTTAATTCCAGCACTAGGGAGGCGGAGACAGGAGGATTTCTGTGAGGTCTAGGCCAGCTTGATCTACAGAGTGAGTTCCAGGACAGGCTGCAAAGCAAAAAAAAAGGGGGGGGGCAGCATCCTTTTAGATATTACAATCCTCAATAAGTGACATCAGCTCAGCATGTCTTAGGATCCTTCCACAAGCACTTTTTTTTTTTTTAATTGAGGAAGACAGGTATCCTCAACTCTAGCATGTCCAAATAATAGCAGTCAAAGTAGATGCCAAGGATGCAATGGTAAACACAGAAGAGGAGCCTGGAAAGGACTGTTGAGGTAATCAGGAGCCCTGGTAAGCAGTCTTCCTATTTGTCTAGCATGCGTGAGACATTAAGTTTTTCACAGCCCTACAGCAGGGGGTGGGGGAAGGAAGGAAGAGAGCCAGCCTTCCCACAATAAATGAAATCACAGCAGACTTGCTCCTGCTCCCTGACTACCATCTAACATTGTCTGGGATGAACAAACCTCCCGAACAAGAGGGCAACAATCATAAGAAGAATGAAGATAGAGCCCTGACTGAATTCAAAATTACTTGACCAGGATTTTTTTTTTTTTAAGGACAAAACCTATGTACCAATTTCCCTGAAGAAATGCTGGAGAAAAAGCTCTGGGAGAAAGGGCCGGCCCTACAGAGCTGGGGTAGCAGCAGCCATCCTCCAGACAGAGCAATTCGAGTCAATACCATGAGCCATAATTCCCAAGCCTTCTTGACCACCATTACTGGACCTCCCCCCAAGCTATGAGACAATCAAAAAGGGGTATGAGGTGACTGAACTGGGGGAACCCTACAACTGAGCTGTTGTGAGAAGCACTGTTATCAACATGCCCAGAGAGGTCTCTGTACCTGACCATGTGGTCTAGTCCCTGTTCAACGCCTATTGCCTGGGTTTCATTGTCTATGCCTACTCTGTGAAGTCCAGGGACAGGAAGATGGTGGGCAATGTGACTAGAGCCGGGGCCTATGCCTCCACTGCCAAATACCTGAACATCAGCTGCCTAATGGTCATTATCTGCATTATTATTGTCTCTGCCACCTGTGGTACATTCTGGATCCTAGTCCTGCCCTGTGCTCTGCAGTCCACAGCTGCCCACCCTTTAGTCCCAGCACTTGGGAAGCACTAATAACATTGTCTGGGATGAACAAACCTCCCGAACAAGAGGGCAACAATCATAAGAAGAATGAAGATAGAGCCCTGACTGAATTCAAAATTACTTGACCAGAATTTTTAATTCTATGTGAGCTGGGAGCTGAGGAGACAGTTCAGTGGGTAAAATCATTGAAAACCTCTATTCGATTCACATGACTCACATAAAAACAATGACACTCTGTAGCCTCAATTCTCAAGAGAGTGAGGAGAAAGGCAGATCCTTGGAGCTCACTGACTAGTCAGCCTAGCCACATCAATGAGCAGCAAGTTTAGTCAGACAGAAAACCTGTTTCAAAAACTAAGGTGGGGCCAGACAGTGGTGGAACACACCTTTAATCCCAGTAGAGGCAGGCAGATCTGTGAGTTTGAGGCTAGCCTGGTCTACAGAGTGAGTTCCAGGACAGCCAGGGCTGTTACATGGAGAAACTTTGACCTTGTCTTAAAACAAAACAAACAAAAAAAACCAAAGGAAAACAAACAAGAAACAAGCAATACAACACAACTAAAGTGGAGAAGGAATAAGCAAAATACTCAATGTTGACCTTTGGCCTCCACATGAACATACTCACATACATATACACAAAGATTGAGAGCTGCTACCTCATGTTCCTCAAACACTTACCTTGCCTCATTTAGATTATGCAATCCAAGACAACTATTCCTTTATAAGGCCTGCTTTTGTAAGAGGGCAACCCAAGGTGGTCCCAAAAGGGGAGGTGGCACACCCCAACACTTGGTGCCTGGAGAAAAGCAACCAGACTTATCAGGCCTTGGTGGACAGTCAAGTAAGAAACTCAGGGGCAATCTACACTAGATGTCACAATAGGGTCTCCACATCTCTATAGCACTAGTTACCATAGCAATTGAGAGAAACAGAAGATCTAGTTACAAGAATCTGTACCAGCCAGGGAGTGGTGGCACATGCCTTTAATACCAACATTCAGGAGGCTGAGACCAGCCTGGTCTACAGAGCAAATTCCAGGGCAGCCAAAGCTACAAAGAGAAACCCTGTCTCAAAATACAAAAGCAAACAAGAAATCTGTGTGTCAATTGCATACTGATTATTTATAAATCTAAGCAGTCCCATCTACTTTTAAAAATGTATGCTGGTGAGGCTGGAAAGATGCCTGGAGAGTAATTAAGAGCATTTACTCCCCCTTCCAGAGTTCAATTCCTAATACCCACATGGTAGTTCACAACCACCTGTAACTCCAGTTCCAGGGATCCAATGTCCCTTTTAACCCCTGCAGGCACCAGGACTGTATGTGGTACACATACATACATACTGGCAAAACACGCATAAAAATGAAAAAAAATGAATACATCTATTAAGAAATAAATAAAAGGAAGAAAACATATGCTGCTTGGAAAGTATAAGGATAGGGAAAAATAAAATAGATCAGCAACTCTAGAGAACAAAACTTTCATCAACCATTGCCTTCCATATTTCACCTGGTTTCTGTTCATGCTTCCTCGGGCCTAAAGCAAGATCAAGTAACTCCCATAGCTGTCTTATACGTTTTGGTAGTAGTTCTCTCCTACTAAAGAATCCCTGATGGATAGAGAGTAAAAGGGCTGAATTTCTTAGCACAGCCTAAACTTGAACTGCCCGAGAAACTGCACTTCCATCTCATGTTTTTACTTCCTAACGTAATCAGCAAGGCACCATGACTGGGGTCCTCAACTGTGTTCTCTCATCAAATAAGGGCTGGTTTACATACGACAACTATGACCCACAGGAGGAGCCACACACCAGAGTATAGACTCATCAAGTGTTTTCTATACTAGAAAGTCACTAGGGGCTGGAGAGATGGCCCAGCAACTAAGAACACTTGCTGCTCTTGATAAGAACTGAATTCAGACTCAAACACCATGTTAGGTGACTCACAAGTACTCATAACTCTAGCTCCTGAGGATATGAAATCCTCTTCTGGCCTCTGCACACACATTACAAACACACCCAAGACACACATGCACATAATTAAAAATAAAAAAGTATTTTTGAAAATATTCTTAGGGGGCTGGCGAGATGGTTCAGAGGTTTAGAGCACTGACTGCTCTTCCAGAGGTTCTGAGTTCAATTCCCAGCACCCACATGATAGCTCACAACCATCTATAAAGAGATCTGATGACCTCTTCTGGTGTGCAGGCAAACATACAGACAGAACACTGTATATATAATAAATAAATTCCTTCAACTAGATTTCTAGGAAAGCTTTCTAGACACTTCAGCTCCTCAATGATACTCTCCAGGATTGAGGGGAAGAGGCAACTGGCTGCTGCTTTGCATTATTTGATCTACACCAAAAAATTTCCAGAGTTGTTATTTTCCTGACTCCTGGATTTCTCAGAATGTTTTTCCAACCCAACAGTCATTTGCTGCTTGCATGAAGGCAGTATATGACTAACGCATTTCAGCATTTGTATCATACTACATTATCCTATGATCTGAAGATGGAATCCCTCCATCTGAAAGTTCCTAGAAAATGAGTTCACAAAATCTAACAGCAGGCATCTGCTAAGACACCCTCCTTGCGTAGCAGTTCACACCATGTGCTGTTTAACACACAGGAAGCTGAAATAGTATACTAAGTAATCATCTCTAGAGCCTCACCACTAGAGAGCACTCAGTAAAAGCTAACTAAAATCAGTCAACTGAGAAGTCTACTAGCTACACAGAGGACAAGAGGCAGCACAAGGATGTGGCAGTGGCTAAAGCCCTGGTTTTCAATGCTCACAACCAGAAGCAAACCCTGGTTCTACCACATAACAACTCAGGTAATTTCTCTGAGTTTCTACTCTTTGCAGTAACAATTCTGAAAGGCAGATATAAGGAACTAAATGAGTTCTAAAACTGTCAAGCTGCAAGACATGATTACATACACCTGTCTTTTTTTTTTTTTTTTTTTTTTTTTTGAGACAGAGTTTCTCTGTGGCTTTGGAGGCTGTCCTGGAACTCGCTCTGTAGACCAGGCTGGCCTCGAACTCACAGAGATCCGCCTGCCTCTGCCTCCCGAGTGCTGGGATTAAAGGTGTGCGCCACCAACGCCCGGCTGATACCGAGATTTTTAAGATACACATAGCTTATAGAATCCTTATAGAGAATGGCATAACAGAATCCTTGGTTCTAGCTGGATGTAGTGGCGTAAGTCTTTAATCCCAGCACTCAAGAGGCAAAGGCAGAGAGTTCTCTGTGAGTTCCAAGGTTAGTCTGATCCACAGGGTGAGTTTCCCTGTCTCAGGGAAAAAAATGTTGGGAATAGGCAAAAGTACCTTATCCTAAGTACTGCCATTTTGACTTCAGACTCCATTTTACCTGTAGGGCGAAACAAAGTTCATGTTCCCAAGCCCTAGGGGAACTGGGGAGTCTGTCCTGGAACTCTCAGAGATCCTCCTGTCTCTGGCTCCCAAGTGCTTGGATTAAAAGTATGTGCCACCATGCCCCAGCCTGCTATACAGCTTTTTCCCCCCATTGGTGTTTTTGACTGCAAGTATGTGTGAGGGTGTTGTAGGCATTTCGGACAGATCAGGTAGGACAGACATTTTGGCACTCGGGAGTCACAGAATACTGAGTGTTACACAGCTCAGATGGAAAGGTATCCTGGAGCTTTGGGAGCCAAGGACTACCACAGGCTGCAGTAAGCATAGTATCAGTCTATCGGCTGTGCTCCAGCAGGTGGTCTTCCAGCTGGGGATGTTTGCCCAGTGTAGCAGTTTTGCTCCGGAAGGAGGTTTCCTGGGGGAAGTTGCTACAGTTCAGCTCTGCTCCCAGGAGTAGACAGCCGAGTGTCTCCACTCAGCCAGGAGAAGGTTTCCCCAGCAAAAGTGTTAAAGCCCTGCTTGCTCTGCTCTGCCCTGCCCAGGGTCGCCTCTACTCTGGGCCTCCGCAAAAGATCTTCACCCAAAGCTCATCCAAGGGGTTTATTGGGAGGGAAGAATCCAGAAGAGTGGCTGTCTGGCAGAGGACAGCCTGGTAGCATGAACAGCCACAAGCTGAACAGACACAGGGTCTATATAGGGCTTTCTGGGTGGGAATTGGTCAGATTTCAATGCTGAGCTCAGATTGGCTAGAGTTCCTGCTCAAGGATTGGTTAGTTTTCTGCACAGGGTTAAGGTCAGATTTGCCTCTGGTTTCAGGGCCAAAGTGTGTTTCTTTCTCTGGTCCTTTAGCTTTTTGGCTCTAGTTTTAGGGCCAGGGTGTATTTCCTCCACTGGCTATGATTCCAGGGCCAAAGTGTGTTTCTTTGGCTCTGCTCAGGATGTGTTTCTTTGACTGGTCCCTTTTCCCCACAGGTATCAGATCTTGGGAGTTACAGACAACTGTTAGCTGCCATGTGGATGCTGGGAATTGAACCCCGATCCTTTCTTAGAGCAGTCAGTGCTCTTAACTGCTGAGCCATCTCTCCTGTCCACTGTTATACATTAAACATTATGGCTGTTCCTAACAACAAAACAAACAAATGAATCTAATCGGCTGGACTGAAAAGCTTATATTCTGCGCCACTTGACAATGATGGAATAAATAGGACCATCTTTAAATCTCAATTTGTGGAAATATAACTGTAACTTGGCACAGATGTTTGTTTTTTGTTCTTAAGGTTCTGTAATTTTCTGGCTCGGGGTGGCAGTTCAGTTCCTGAGTCTGTTCTGTGGCCCTCATCCATCAGTAGTCCCTTGATTACAATAAAATTTTGTCATCTGCATTGGTTTGGTGTGTGAGTTGTGTTGGCTCCCAGCAGACCCCTTAATAAAATAACAGCAGCAACAACAAATCCACCCTGGATTGGGCAGTGATGGCACACACCTTTAATCCCAGTAGACAGGAGGCAGAGGAAGGCAGATTTCTGTGTTTTGAGGCCAGCCTGGTCTACAGAATGAGTTCCCAGACAGGCTCCAAAGCTACAGAGAAGCCCTGTCTCGAAAAACCAAACTAAAGCCGGGCGTTGTTGGCGCACACCTTTAATCCCAGCACTCGGGAGGCAGAGGCAGGCGGATCTCTGTGAGTTCGAGGCCAGCCTGGTCTACAGAGTGAGTTCCAGGACAGCCTCCAAAACAATTCAGAGAAACCCTGTCTCGAAAAACCAAAAAAAAAAAAAAAAAAAAAAAAAGACATATATGTCTGTATGTCTATGTGTATGTGTACAAGCATGCAGGTTTCTGTGGAGGGCACTGGAATCCTGTGGAGTTGGAGTTACAGGGAGTTGTGAGCCACCTAACTCCAGCCCTTTCCAAGAGCAGCAGGTTCTCAGGTTCTCCTAACTTCTGAGCTGTCTCTCCAACCCTTATACCAGCTAGGGATTTTTTGTTTTGTTTTGTTTTGTTTTTGAGGCAGGTTTCTCTGTATTGCTTTGGAGGTTGTCCTGGAACTGGCTCTGTAGACTAGGCTAGTGTCAAACTCAGAGATCCTCCTGCTTCTGCCTCCCGAGTGCTGGGATTAAAGATGTGCACCACCACCATCACCACCTCTACCACCACTGCCACCTGACTCTTTATACCAGCTATTTACATACATGCTGGAGATCAGAAATCAGGCTTTCATGGCAAACACTGTACCATCACCTCCTCACTCCCATGTACATCCTTTTAAATCATCATTATAAATGACCTTTAAATAGGTCATTGCCTCCTCCTCCATCTTCTCCTCAGTGTTCAATGGTTAAGAGTACTGGCTGTTCCAGAGGATTCAGGTTTGATTCCCAGTACCCAAAAGGTGGTTTATAGCCATCTTTAACTCCAGTTTTAGGAGAATTGAATGAAGCCTTTTCCTGACCTCTAGGCATGCATATATATATTCA